CCATCGACCATGGTATCATGCTGCGCTGGTTGGAGGGGTTGAGAGTGGGAGGCACCGTTTTATGGTGGTTCTCCTCCTATCTCTCCGACCGGTCGCAGTCTGTGTTGGCTGGGGGGCAGAGGTCAACCTCAAGGCACCTGGTTTGTGGGGTGCCGCAAGGGTCGGTTCTCTCGCCTCTCCTGTTCAACATTTATGTGAAGCCGCTGGGTGAGATCATCCGTGGTTTTGGGGTGCAGTGCCATCTGTACGCTGATGACACTCAGCTGTACATCTCCACCCCAGACCACCCAACGATGCCCTTGAAGTGATGTCCCGGTGCCTGGAGGCCGTGCGGGTCTGGATGGGGAGGAACAGGCTCCGACTCAACCCCTCCAAGACTGAGTGGCTGTGGTTGCTGGTGTCCCGATATAGCCAGCTGGTGCCATCACTGGCTATTGGGGGTGAGACATTGGCCCCCACGGAGAGGGCGCGTAACTTGGGTATCCTCCTAGATGCACGGCTGTCTTTAGAAGAGCATATGACAGCTGTGGCCAGGGGGGCTTTCTATCAGGTTCGCCTGATACGCCAGTTGCGCCCCTTTCTGGATCGGGACTCCTTATGCACGGTCACTCATGCCCTTGTCACTTCCCACCTGGACTACTGCAATGCTCTCTACATGGGGCTCCCCTTGAGGAGCACTCGGAGGCTCCAATTGGTGCAGAATGCAGCCGCGCGGGTACTTATGGGGGTGACATGGCGCTCCCATGTAACACCTCTCCTGCGTGAGCTGCATTGGCTTCCAGTGGTCTTCCAGGTGCGCTTCAAGGTACTGGTTCTCATCTTCAAAGCGCTCCATGGCTTAGGGCCCGGTTATTTACGAGACCACCTTCTGCCACTGATAACCTCCCACCGGCCAATACGCTCCCACAGAGAGGGTCTCCTCAGGGTGCCGTTGGTCAGGCAATGTCAACTGGCGACCCCCCGGGGAAGAGCCTTCTCTGTGGGGGCACCCGCCCTCTGGAATGAGCTACCCCCAGGGATACAACTGATCCCAGACCTCCGAACCTTTCGCCGGGCTCTGAAAACATTTTTATTTCGGCAAGCCGGGCTGGCTTAGAATTTTTATTGGTGAATTTTATGGGTAAGGGGGTTTTAAATTGGGGAAAGCCATTGGATTTAATTTTGTTTTAAATGCATTTTAATGTTTGTATTGGATGTTTCTTAATCTTGGCTGTTCACCACCCCGAGTCCTTCGGGAGAGGGGGCGGTATAAAAATTTAATAAATAAATAAATAAATAAATAAATAAATAAATAAATAAATAAATAAATAAATAACAACTACTCAACAAATGGCCACATTTCCAAATCTATAAGCATCAATTACTAGCATTCGTTTTTTATTAAAGATCCGTTTTTCACAAAGTAATGATGACTGTATTAATTTAATGAAGTGAACATAATGAACAAGTTTTTATGTCTATAAAAAATAATAGCAAATGAGAATAGCATTGATTTAATTATTGGTTCCCTTAGAAGCTAAAAGATATAACTGGACTTTAGTTATCTCTCAAGCAAAATGTTTAATTGGTATCACAGGTGTCTCCAATCTCATAATTAGTCACTCAGCCTATCTGTATGGAGAAAAGTATTCTCTCAGGCATTTTGTGCAGCACAATGAACATGGACTACAGAGTGCGGTGGCCTAAAGGTGGAGCTCTCGCCTCACAATCGGGAGGCTGCAAATTCGATCCTAAGTAGAGGCAGATATTTCTCTCTCTGGGCAGAATGAGAATATATCTGCTGCGAAATCCGCATTGGCGACCGGAAAGGTATCCAGCCACTAAACTCTCAGCTCCATTCAGTTGCCCCGACTCCACCCAGATGCAAGGGACTACGGGATCATTAAAAGACAAAAAAAAATGAACATGGACCACAGAAAGAAAAGCAGAGAGTTGCCAAAGGGGGGAAAAAAGATGGCAATAGCCAAACCTGATAAACCATCTCCATGTTGGTTTCTTCATGTTCTTGTGATCATAATTTAAGGTCCATGGGACTGTAGCCCACTAAAGCTGCAAGAGGAAAATTGACTCTAGATGGAACAAAAGGATAGTTTGAAAGATGAAGAAAGAACCAAGGAAATTTCAAAATAGATTCTGGCTGACCTCCAAAAATTTTGGACCAAAATCAAGGTCAAATACAACAATGTCAAGTCAAAGCATCCTTCACTGTCTGACTGATACAGACCCAGGAAAACCCTACTTCTGGAAGACAGACACAAAAAAGCCAGACTGGAGTTTCTTTAAATGCATATTCTTCTGGCAGGATATCCGTTGGACATACGAAACAAAATTAGAGTGTTTTGGTATGTCATAAGAGTTATATGTTCACAGAAGGAAAATTATACTTTTTTTAAAAAAGGACACCATTCCTACTATGAAACATGGAGGAAGTTCCACAATGCTACGATTGCTTTGCTACCTTTTACATTGCATGCCTTGAATCTGTGGATACAATGAAATAAGAAGACTACTAGAGCAAAACGTAATGCCCAGTGTTAGAAAGCTCTGCTTTAGTTGCCTCTCATAGGTCCTCCAGCAGAATAAGGATCTAAAAAAAATGCATCTTAGAAAATCCAAGAATGGTAGAAAAGTAAAAAAAAATGGACTGTTCTGAAGTAGCCTGCTATGAATGTTAATCAAAGTCCTATAGAACATCTATGGAAAGAGCTAAAACAGTTGGAAGAAGGAACACATCACATGTAGGAAAAGAAAATCTGAAGCTAAATGTGAAGTGAATATGGGAAACTCAAACTGTGAAAGATGAAATAGACTATAATCTGACATATTACCAAGTGTGAAATGGACTAGAATTGGACCTTTTTAACCACAATAACTTACTGTTTACTATTCAAGATATGAAAAATGAAGAATTAATGGTATTATTTTCGTAGCTTTCATAGGAAGGATATAACAAGGAAAATATTTGGGAACAAATTTTATCAATTAGAGTTTGTGGACAACATTTTAATATGATTAGTCAAGTTTATGCAGCAAGCATTGATGCGGAAAAAGAGGAGACTGATGAATTTTACGGCCAGGTTCAATCTGAAATTAATAGAACATCCAAGAAGCTGCTTATTGCTGGAGAGTAGAGTATCAAAGTTATTAAGGTGGAAAACATAGTTGGATTCCACGGCCTAGGAATTCAAAATGAAGCAAGAAAATGACTTCTGCCCATTCAATGATTTCCTAATCACTAACACAATCTTCCAATATCCAAACTGATACCTGTATACATTGCATTGCTCTGCAATATCTTTAATTTCACATGCTAGCAAAGTAATTATGTTTAATGCTGATGGATGCTAGATAATTGAAAAAGTCACAGAATATCAGAAAGAAGTCAATACGGGCTTCATTTATTATGGAAAGATATTTGGTTTTGCCAAACATATTAAGCTGTGGAATATCCTCAGGAAAATGGCAATTCCAGAACATCTCACTGTCCCCATGAGAGACTATACACAGGCCAGAAGCCACTGTCTGTCTGTCTGGAACAGAACAAAGCAGATTCCAGATTAGCAAAGGATTGCAATAAAGCCACATATTTTCCCTTTATTCAATCCATATGCTGAATGTATCAAGGGAAACTGGATTGGAAGAAGATGAGTGTGATTTTAGAATTGGAAGAAGAATCATCAATAACCTGCATTATGCAGATGATGCTACCCTAACAGCTGAAAATGCAAATTATCTGGAAGCTCTAAGTAATACAAATTAAGGAGCACAGTGGAAAAATGAGACTAAGAAGATCAAATTAATGACAACAGGTACAATAAACAGTCTTAAAATTGACAATGAAGATATTGAAGTGGTGGGTAAATTCTGCCATTTGGGATTGACAGTAAAATGACCAGTAATCAAAAATTGACCAAATATTAGAACTTGGGAGGGTAGCAATAAAGGCTTTGAAAAAGATATTCAGATGCCATAACATATCTATGCCTACAAAAGCCCTGCTGCCTAGAGAAGACTCTACCGGTGGGAAAAATGGAAGAGTAGAAGAGGATGATCATCAGCAAGATGGATGGACTTGATTACATCAGCCTGCACAGTGGTACTCATTCATTGTTAATTGGTTCCGGGAGACACAATGAATACCAAAAATAATGAATACCAAAAAAAAATTTCCCATAAGGAATAATGTAGTGAGTCACAAAACAGACGACAATGACAAGTTATAATCAAGTACCAAACAAATTATGAGTACCGGGTCAAATTTTTCATGTTGAAATGCATAGACTATCAAATTCAATGGGTTTCAAAGCAATTGAGTACCAAAGTACCAAGGTACCACTGTACAATATACAGTATATGAGTAAGAACCAAAAATATAGCCCTTAAAGGATTCCAACATTAGAACATGATAAACTGGGTTGAGAAGGGGAGGAGCGATACACTTTGAGGTAGAGAATCTATTGCACTTCTGCTGAGATAACTACTGGTGGCTGGCTCATGTTGTCTACGCAGTGTAATGATAAAAGAACTTGAGTAGTCACATGGGCCATTCTTTGAGTGGCAAATTACATTGATCAAGCACCACACTTGGTAGAGCAAGTGTATAAACAGATGAAAATTGATGAGGGTGATTAAATACTTATGCTCCCTTTGTTATTTCTCTGCTTAATTTCTCTTTTTCTAACCTAAGCATGCAGCTTCCCTAACATGGGAAGCTTAAATAGAACTCATTCCTAGTAGCCCAATGAAGACATAGATACATTACTGCTTCCCTTAGTGAGAAGGCAATGCATCTGTGGATATCTCTAATTCATTTGTGTTGAAACCAAGCAATGTTCAAAAAAGATAATTATTTGAATCAATAAACCCATGCTGAAACCCATTCTGTTGCTTCTGTTATTGGTGAGCCCACTGGGGTCATAGATTCTACACTGAGTTAGGATTAGCCACCTAATAAATACATACTGTAACAATAAATTCTATACACAAAGACATACACTCACCTAACGTCCAGTAAGTTACTGCTTCCAGGTGCGAAATGCTACTGTAGATAGCATGCATATACATAAAATGAATCATCAATTCTGCCAACCACCACCAAATCAAAATACGAATGGCTCCCCAGATGAAAATAGATAGATTGGACTTCCAATTGCAGGATTGTTGTTTGCTCATCTGTATTAGAATAAATTAAACATTAATACTATATAGAATTGGATTTTAATTGACTATTGTGTCAAACAATCTTTTCTTTCCTTTTTAATTCCAATTGGAATCTTTATTTAGTGTTTGTGTTTGGAAATTAAAACATGTAAACAATATAAAATATATTGTGCTTGCTGATAGTCTTGGATTTTTGTAATCTGGAGAACATATGCATTTAATTGTAATACGGGAGATAATAAAGAAATTTGTAAAAATGATAAAACATACAAAAAACATTACTCTGGGGAAAAATCAGTATTCAGATGAATGGGACTGTTTAATAGACAAATTGAGGCATAAGGAATATGTCCTTGCAACAACTGTGGTTTTATCAGAACATCCTGACAGCAATTGCTGAATCTCAAGATAAAAATATTTCTTCTAACATATGTATTTATAATACATCTCAGGTTACTTCCTGGCCTTCTGTTATCTATAGAAAACAATCATTGTTCTCTGTAGATAACAGAAGGGTAGAAAGTAATAACCTGAGATGTATTACAAATACATACACATGCATCACTTTTCCCTCCTGTCTGAAATGTATAATACACATGCATCTATTTGTTTTCGGGGTGTGTCTCCCACTTTTCTTTTGGAAGAGAGCCTCTCATGTGCGCACTGTTAAACAAATAAACAAACAAATCCTGTAGTGAGCCTCGATTATTGCTTTCTGGGTCCTGTGTTTCATGCCACACTACCAAAACAACAATCTATAGAGCAGCTGGCTGTCCTCCATCTGTGATAGACAACTCCCAGAATTCTCTGTGAGCATAGTCTATAAACATGCTGTTGCAGAAAGACTAGTATGACTGACATGTGAAGATCATACATATGGTATTTTATTTATCTATCAAATTTATACACCACCTAACTCACTCTGAGTGGCTCTGGACAGTTTACAAATAAAAGTAATAAGATTATTTAAAAGTCAACGTCAGAAACAGATTTAAAAATAAATAAAAGCAATAATAAAATAATAATAATAAAGGCAGATTTTGAAAGTTAAAGCAGAAGGAACACCCTCAAGCCATCTACCACCTTCAGGGGTTGTGTCAGCTGACACAGCCAGATCTTCAGGGCTTTTGCTATCCACATATTAATATTGTCATCATACTGCAAATAATGTGATTCAATGATTCCTAATCTTTGATCCAAGAAACACTGGTAATCTAAATGATGTAAATGGTCATACACTAAATCTTACTGGATGGTAGCATTCTCACCAAACATTTCCTGTGGAACACTGAATTTTTATAAGAATGTGTGATCTCTTAAGATTACAAACTTATAAAAGTATTCCACTAGCAGCATTTGGAAGCAGGTAACATATGTGCCATCTTGCTCCCAAAAGCCATATTCACTGATAATGTTTCTTACATAATTGTTTTCCTTAAAGAAAATATATTTCTAATGCCCTCTTGTGAAAAAAACATATGTAAACAGAATTAGTTTCAATTGAGTATCTATAAACAGGAGTGCAGCCTTATGCAAAAATTCCTTTTCTGATGTCAAACATCAGATTTTAAAAAAGACTTTTGCCAATTCAAACTAATAATGTTAGTTACCTATCATTGTTAATTTTTTTTTAAATAATATTTCTGTGTGTACTTTAAATTCTCTGTCACACGGCATTATGAGTTATATGATTTTATTATTACATAAAAAGAATGAATTCATCTAGCATTTTTAGTATAAGAATTCCATTGCCTTGGGCATTTTGATAATGATATACGACATTTAGCTGTTGGATTACATGGATAAATTCCTAACACTTCAAAAAAATTTTTTGACAATTTTAAAAAAAAATCTTACTTTATACCATCAGTGAATTATGATCATTGTCTTTCACATTTATGATTTTCTCTAAATTCAGCTTATGAAAAAAAAGCTAATTTCCTTGACAAATTTGATCATTCTGCAACATGTAATAGCTGGTAGAACTCATTAAAAAGGGAAGTATGCTATATTTGAATATCATCAACATTCAAGCTTTTATCACCTGTTGAGATAATTGTTTCTGAAACAAACTTTTTGTTCTCGGATGTATCAGGGAAGAAATATAATGTTTCCGATCATTTAGGCAGAACTGGGTGAAGGTGGAGGGTATATGACTTAAATATCTCAATTTTATATTTCTTCCAACATCTATGAAATTGTTTAATAGGATTTTATATCTGATCTCCTGCTCAACAAGATTACTAATCTCCTTCCATGAGATTATTGTAGGCTTTTGTTCTATTAAATATAAAGTAGAATTCTGGGGCGTTTTTAAGAAGCTATTTCCTCAGTTGTTGCAGAAAAAGGAATGAGGAAACTCCTCATTTAGCCAACTTCCAATTTCTTTACTTGGTTTTTTTTCCGCTCTATTTTTCTTCTGTTCATTGCTAGGAAGTGATTACACAGATGATTGGCTTATTCTCCATAAAGAATAGAAGATTGCTTAATGACTCTTATTACATCTTTCAGCAAGCTTGCCAGATGCTTTCACTATACTGACTCATCTTTAATAACATCTCACTATCGCAACTACTTTAAAGAAACTATCTTCAAAGTACTATGGAGGAAAGAGAAAACTCCTACAGTGTTGTCAATTCAGTTATGATGCATGCCAATCAGACTTCTTAAGGCATGTAGACACACCTGTTTCCTGTTATATAGCCAACATTAAAATACTGAACTATGGATAGCAGCTGAGATGTTTAAGGCCACTTGGGTGACTAATTTCCTTGCAAAGTAGGAAGCAACATAGTTTCAAAACTCTGCCAACTTACCACCACCAAGACGCCGCAGGACAACCCTCCACAGTCAACTCACCACTGGCACTACTCACCATGGGCAGCTGGAGGGAGAGCCAGGCAGGCAGGCGAATGTGTGGGCAAAACGTAGAGCATGTTGGGGCAGACGGCGGAAAGGAGCAGTGGCCTGGGGCCTTCCCATTTTCACACCCCTCGCTGTTGTTACACCAGGCTCCAAGCAGAAGATGCCGGGGATGGCAGTAGTGGCAGTAAAGGTGGGAGGTGGGGAAGCGATGGCATCAGCAATGGTTCATCAGCCCAGTGCCATGACAACATTGATGACAGCTGCAAGCCCGGCGCAGTGATTGAAGCGGCAGCAATTGTGAGCCCAGTGTGGTGATGGCAGCAGCAGCAGCAGCAGCACACCGGGCTCGGAGTCGCTGCTGCTATCACGCAGGGCTTCAAGCCTGGTGCAGTAGTTGTAGCAGGTGTTAAAATAAGAATCTCCCAGCTGCCACTGCCTCCACCACCCTTCTCTCGCTCTGTGCGCTCTGTCCACCTGCTCACTCACCTGCCCAGGTCTCCCTCTAGCCACCCACAGTGGTCCTGTAAATTGGCAGCAGCAAGTTGGTGGTGATGAGCTAGCCGTAGGGATCTGGCTGAAGCAAGTTGTCCCATCCCGACTCCAGGAACCATACAGGGATTGATCAGAACTGCTAACAGCCTGATGAACTCAGTCCAATACCCAGTTCTAAAAAAGGGTGATGGCTGGTGAGAGGGATATTAAGAATCTAAGAAACAGGGTAATTGTGAGAGAACTAGGCGAGACTCATTACAAAACACAAAATAACTCCCTCTGATCAATGAAAATCATAATAATAATAACTTTATTTTCATTGTACATGTGTACAATGTATGGGTATATGGGTATACACAGTATACCCATACAACAAAATTCATTTAACACCCAAAGACCAGGTCCAATATACATAACAATCCCCAAACACACTCCCACCCACCACAGTTCCCTACCCCTAAACCACTCAAACATCAACACAACAGACCAGCTCATATGTACTGATATACTTTTTCCAAATTTTACATAAACATATAGATCTCTTTTATCAACCGGAATAGCAAACTGTGCTCTACCTCCTTCCAGAGAGAGACCATTTTTGTTTAAAATAAATTATGGAAACAGGCCAATATTTAAAACATTATCCATTTAAAATCTCATTAACATGAATTTTTCAAGTCAGAAAAATACAATTAAAATAGCTAATGAAAATAATCATCTAATATAAATTCAAAAGGAATTTTCCAGCATGAATTCCCAAAAGGGCTTGTACCAGAGCTATTAAAAATTCTCTCTTTGAATGCCTAAAACTCTCCAGGCCCCCACCCCTGACATGCAATCAGCTCTATACAGACACCTTTCATGTCTCACATGGTTGAAGTTATTTTTGAGAAAACAGAGTCGAATAGCAAACATGCAACATCTAATTCTAAAAATCACCATAGCTTCAATTTACATGTTCACAATTTCAGAATCAAAAGGAACGGGCCTGGCATAATAATCTAGCTGTTCAACACAGGAAATCTAGAGTTAGTGTATTCCCAACAAATATTCTACTTCCATGATAGCTATCTCCTTATCATTGGCTCCCGCCATGAAGCTACACTTCTCAAGATTCAGCTAAATAGTCAACTAAAGTTAAAATTTCTGGAATTTATACCCAATAGATTTAGCCCTGCTCCTGAGATAGCACAGACCAAGTCTTTCTCATTCTCAATGTATTTGAAAAACACAGTAATATCCCCATTCACTTTGCTAGGCCATTATGCACAATTTTTTAATACATCTTCTGAACCTGTTTGAATTTGTCTGCATGATTTTTAAAAGTAATGTTTTCAATTTAGTATTCCAAGATGGCATGGGGCTTACACAGAAAAATTCAAATTATTACTTTTCATGGTCTGAAAATTATAAAAGGAGTAGTGGCTCATTGGCTTAATGATGCTGAAGATGGTCTCTGTGCCAGTGGTTCAAGTCCAAGCACTGCGTGGCAGAGTGAGCTTCCATCACACGCCTCAGCTTCTGTCCACCTAGCTGTTTGAAAGCATGTTCTATGTGAGTAGATAAATAGGTACCACTTTGGTGGAGAGAAGAATTGGTGCTCCGTATCAGATCAGTCAGATTCTTGCCAGCTCTGAATCTTCCTAGTTGCAATACCCGTTTGTGAGGCATCTCCAGGGAAGGGAGGGGAGCTTGGATGACACTGCAGGAAGAGCTGCTCACCTTTTTTTCTGGTGTGAAGCCAGCTCACCCTCCTGTGGCATATCTTGGGAAGTGCGTGAGTGTGTCTCACAACAGAGCTGGTAAATTGACAGCCAAACTACTATTTTATAATAGCATTGTGGTCTCCTGGCTAATGTAACAATACCATATGCTAATCATCATCATCTGAAAATTATAGGTCTATTACTGAAGAGTAAAATCGCATCAGAGGGTTTTTTTTCGAGAAACATCACATTGCTAACTGATGCTTGACATTTAATCGCACTCTTAACATTCATTCCATTTAAACTATTGTCAACCAATATTTCTCATCCCAATTCTGTATGTTTTAGTATTTTTCCCTCTTGCATAAATGCAGACATTTGATTTATTGATAATGAATTCTGTTTTGCTAGAACATTAATTTTAAATCCATATAATCCAATCAACACCATGGCCATGCTTTTATTTAATGTAAACTCCTACTATGATAGAAACCATCCAAAAGCTTTCATGCAAATTCATTTTGGTTCCTATCGCTTTCTCCAACATGAAGATATTAAAAAGCAGCATGAGAAGCAATACCAAAATGTATTATTAACATCAAAGCAACCCGAAGTGTTGTTACCTGTGTATAAAATTCATCAAAGGTGATAATAGGTCCATTGTGAAACACAGGATAGTAGAATGTATATGACAACATCCAAAGGAATGAATGCTGTATCATCTCAGTAGTCCTATCCCAACAATATTCCAGACTGAAGCTTGTATAATAGAGACAGCGCACAATCAGGGTGAAAACTAGTAGATAATACTCATTTTCACTGGCATACCAGCCTCTCTGAAAAAAAATGAAACTAATTTGAAGATTATGTAAAAAGTAACATAGCTATTAAAAGTAATATTCCATAGCAGAAACCTGAGATCTGCATGTGTACAGATTTATACAAAGAAAGACTCCAGAATAGCTTCATATTATCCAAACACTTCTTATGGGTTTTTCCTTCTTGCATAAGGAAAGGTGGAAGGTAGCATTAGACGAAATTGCAATAAAGCCAACCAATTTATTCCATAGCTATAGCACTATAGCAATAGCACTTAGACTTATATACCACTCCATAGTGCTTCATAGCCATCTCTAAGTGGTTTACACAGTCAGCATATTGCTCCCAACAATCTGGGTCCTCATTTTGCCAATCTCGGAAGGATCCAAAACTCCCTTTCCTTAGCAACTTAGGCCCATAGTTTAAAGTAATATTTATTTCTTTTTACATACAGTACATACGTACATATGTGTATATACATTCATACATGCATACAGTATATACATGGTATATATCTCTGCATACATACATGCTGCTGCAGATTCTCAAATAAGCAAAACTGAGCCTTTAAGAAACACTGTTTTATAGTGATTACAATAATAAGCATATACAGAAATCTAGAACTGTTGCTTCCAACTGTACTGTAGTAATTTGTGTTTACATTACTGAGATATAGGTATAATTAACTGGTATATGATTTTGCTGCTACTTCAGAACCACTTAAAATCCATCTGGCTTTTCATCAGGTTATTTTCATCTCCTTCACACTATATTTTACTCAGATAAGAAACCCCAACTTTAGCCACTGGCCATTTAGTATTTTTTTTTAATGCTTATATTGTGGCTATGAAGGAATCAACCCAATTCTTGCTTTTTTAAAAAAATATTTATCAGGTTTTGTCACTGTTGTTGTTTTCCTTTTGTAAAATAAACATAATAACTTTGTATCTTCACTAATGTATATACACACATATTTATTTCTAAATTTCTAAGGTGGAAACATTATAAGAATACTATAACATCTTCTAAGGGTGATTCCTCTAAATTTCTCAAAATCCCAGACTTTTATAAAATAACTTGTTTAAACACACACAAAAATTACATGTGTAAATTACCTTCACTTCTTCTATGGCAGATAGATGCAGAGTTGACAACAGAAGCAAAGAAGTCAACCATGTAAACACTGGATTTTTCAACTGGGCTACTAAATACGAGATAGTGACATGTAGAAAAATCATAGTCAGTCCTTTCGACCCCAGTAGAAGCCAACAGGCAGCAATTCCATACACCATCAGAAACCAAGGTTTGTACTGAAATGTTAGAGAGAATGGATGATGAAATGTCACACGTGAATAAGGGAATGTTTAATCTATCACCAATATATCCAACTCTCTCAAAGGAGCTATATTACTATTGCAATAATTAGGTTGGTTTTTTTTTTACTGTTATAACTGTAGAAACTGTGGGTGAGAGTGAACTGGGGCTGAAACAGTGTTTGTCATTATGACAGCAGACTTTGCCTAGCCCAGATTAAGATATATGATCAAATAATGAGCGACAGCTAACTAAGGCTGAAACAGTAAATAAATGAATGATTTTTATTATGGTCCTTGACCAAGCAAAAAAAAATACAAACATATTCCCACAAAAGAAAAGCAAGTAAGAAATATTGTTTATTCAATACTTTCACAAAACACAGTAAGAACTAATCAAATTAACCAGCATAAAGGGTGTGTCAACTCTCAAAACGACTCTAGCTGAAGCCATATTTTTCTTGTTTCATTTCTTATTTGCCATATTTACGGGGGGTAGGGGGGACATATGGAATGTAGAATGTTTTCTTCCAATGTGCCAGACATAACAACGATAAGGCTCCTGAGAATCAAGGCCAAATCAGTATGCCCTAGCAACGACAGGAGGGAGTGCTGAGAAGTTCATCACCTGCTTGATTGGCTAACGTGACCTGTGACATAAGGGAGGTGGACAGTATCTATTCTTTAATTATACCAAAAACGTGGGAATTATTCAGTGTTGGTTTAATGTCATGGTTCCGAGTAATGCTCCCAACCAATTCAAGACTCTGAGGCCTTGTTTTTCTCAAAAATGCGGTTTACTGGGTACAAAATATTGGCATGGTCAAAGGTGAAACCAACACTGAATAATTCCCACGTTTTGGGTATAAATAAAGAATAGATACTGTCCACCCCCCTCATGTCACAGGTCACAGTAGGCAATCAAGCAGGTGATGAGCCTCTCAGCATTCCCTTCTGTCGTTGCTAGGGCACACTGATTTGGCCTTGGTTCTCAGGAGCCTTATCGTTGTTATGTCTGGCACATTGGAGGAAAACATTCTACATTCCATAAGTCTCCCTCCCCCACCCCCATAAGTATGACAATTAAGAAACAAGGCAAGAAAAATATGGTTTGAGCTAGAGTGGTTTTAAGAGTTGACAGGGTATTTAGAAGCACTCATCCTGGTTGCCTATGTCAAATGCCATATTAACTTAAATAAAGGGAATCAAATAATGATAAGACTCTTGGTACAACATTTAGTAGGCAGACAAATAGAATTTTGGCAACTTAAAATGCCTTAATGCTTGGATATATAAAATGGAAGTGGATATAAATTTCATCAGATCTATTTGGCTCATTCTTTATGAAAGGAGCAATGAGGAACAGATCTGAACAGAATCTAAGCAAAACAGAATGAAGACTCTAAGAGGACATGACTCACTGAATTAGTGATCTCCACCATTCCACAAGGATCTACATGATTGCAATGTGCTCTATATGGGACTCACCTTGAGAGTATTCAGAACCTTCAAATGGCCCAAAATGCAGCTACATAGGTAACTATGGGAATGCTCATTTCACTCATGTAATACCACTTATTCTGCAAGGTATACCGGCTAGTGGTGGGCTTCTGCATGCTATTCAAATTGACGTTCACTTATAAAACTCTTCATAGTTCTGGTTGCCTATGGGATTCTTCTCCTCCTGTTGTTTTTGCCTAACTGATAAGATCTAGAAGAGCTGATACTCTAAGTCTTATCTTAAAAGCACTGTAATCTCGTGAGATCTAGGGACTAGCATGTCCCTGAAATCCGTATAGCCCTGACTCTATCGGCTTCCACAAAGCTGTAACAGTCTGGTTCTTTTATCAGAGCTGGGCTGGGCTGGATTGGTCTACTCCCCAATGATAATTTGTGGGGGATTTGTTTATATCGTTACCTTCCTCAGTGTGCATGAAATGCTCTTTGAGTGGTTTTGATTGGTTTTAGTTATTAATTTTTTGATGTTTTAATCCTACTGTGTAAGTTTCTTCAAGCCACTCTATTACTGAGAGGGTATACAAGCTGACAAATAAATTAAAAATATACTGCATGTATATACATACACACACTTAATGAATCTTTGAATTAAGGATTATCCCATCACCAAACTGTTTTTCCCTGTGCTTAAATGAGCAGCTCACTCAAAAAAAAAAAAAAAAAAAAAAACATCCCTCTGGCCTCAAGAAGAGTCAAAGGATTCTAAGAGACGTTTTAGCTGAGAGAATCACTGCAGATACTGTTCAGGGTACATCAACTATCCATTCAAGCTCATCCAGACATGTCCTCTCTGCATGTCTGCCTTTGAAGACAAGAATTATTCAAATCATTCTAACTATGAAACACAATACTGTAGAGCAGACTCTTAAAACAACTGAATATATTAGGCAAACAATGCACATAAAGATATTATTTTCCAATGCAAATTTGAAATGGGAAGAACAACTTTGCTGTTCTGAAAAAACACATCTGCAAAGGAAAAGCACAGAAACTTGCTGTTTAGAAACAAGCAAAAATTAATTCTCCCCTGGGTCTCAAAAGTTCATTTCCTGTCTAAAACTGAGCACATAGATCTTTTTTTTTCTTGACTTTTTTACTGTCATAGTTCAATAATTTCACTCCTCAAATTTTAATAAGCACAGCATTTTTCCAGCACTACTCAGCGTGGAGTTTATTAGAAGTGAACTATGAAGGAAGATGTGGAGGACCCTGCCAATTTATTCCCACTGTTGAACAACTTGAAGATAATTACTATTTTCCAAAAACTGTGGGATGGGATGCCCAGGGCGAGCAATACATCTAAGCTGAAATGCTATTCAAAGGGCCCAAGATTAATAGATAGAAGTAGTGAGGCCCAAAGTCTGAATTTTCAGAAAAAATGAGTCTATTTTCAATCCTGCAATTTGAAGGAAGAAGAGGGATTCAAAGATCTTTTAGTCTGAAAATCTCATACTGACATTAGCATGTTTTATAGAGTTACTTTAGGCCAGATGTATCAAATAGGAGGTGACCCACAAGCACTTTCAATAAGCTACAGAGATAGAGCTAATAGATGAAACCTAAGAAACAGCTACTGTGTTTCCCCTGTCTTATATTTTTTTGAACCCTGAAATAAGCGCTTGGCTTTATTGCCATGCGCTCAAAAGCCCGATTGGGCTTATTATCAGGGGATATCTTCTTTTGAGGGAAACAGGGTATGTAATTATTTATTAGATATGTATACTGCCCATGTCTCTACCAAGTGACTATCAGGTGGCTATCCTAGGAGATAGAGCAATAGATTTACTACTACAGTATATGTTTGGAAACCTAGCCTTCTTCAAAATTCATGGGCTTTTTCAGAGAACGGTGCTGAATCTGCCTTCAGATCTATCTGAGCTGTTCTAGAAAACCAATTTTACATAGGCATTCCATAATTGCCATAAACTAGGGCACATTCCTTACTAAATCATACAACATGCCAAAACATAGAATAAGGAGAAAGATGCTTGGTTTAACATTAGAGAATCTTGCCTCACTCTTATTTATCATATTTGCCTCTACTCAGACCAGCATGCCTGACATTATCTTATTTTGGGCCCATAACCACAGAGCAGTGTGATTAAACAGGAACCTGAGCAACAGCCAAATACTATATGCCTTTGTTTCTCAATCTTGGCAACTTTAAGATGTGTGGACTTCAACTCCTACTGCTGGCTGGGGAATTCTGGGAGTTGAAGTCCAGCCATCTTAAAGTTGCCGAGGTTGAGAAACACTATATGCCATAACACTGAAATAACTCACAGGCTTGTGTGACCTCAGGGTTGCAATATAATGTGACATGCTGCTGTGGACAAGTAAAAAACATTGTAGATAGAAGCCATTTTGCTTTTCTCCATGCTTCCTTTGAAAACAAATCCTCTGAACCATAACTACTACAGTCAGTTTTGTATGAGTGAAATTATTCATTTGGACAGAAAATCTTTAAAAAAGCTTTCAGATGAAACTGAGGAACTACAAGGATTCTCTCTTTCATACTGACATGAAAGTAATGTTCTTATTAAAAAAGATAAAAATATACACAGGCCTTGCTTAATTAAGACGATCAGTAGGAACTAGCATATACTGTTGATTTAAAAATCAACCTGACAGCACTGGCTTCAACTCAACAAACTAAAACAACTACTTTCATTTAAAAATAATTGCACAACTGCTTTCATTGTAATTATAGCAACATTTTACCTATTACTTGTAACCCTCCCACAAGTTGTCCACAAGGTATTTTTAAAATGTGTTATTATTCAGATGGACTTACTATATTTAGATTGCTGTCCTACACTGTCAATGAAAATACAGTTTAACAACCATTCATTCAGTGACTATTTGAAGTTACAAAGGTGTTAAACATATTATACTTATGCCCAGTTCTCAAAGTTATGGCCATTGCAGCATCCCTGAAGTCAGGTGATTAAAATTCACTCTGTCTTTACAACTACAAGGTGTACTTCCATTCCCCCCCATCTGCCTATCTCCCTCATCTCTGCCCTTCTAGCCACCCTGTACTCCTCCACCGTTACCCTACCATTCCTGCCATTCTACCATGCACCCCTGCCACCTGCCCTGTGTTCTGCAAAACCCCTGCCTTCTTCTTCCCACTACTGAGGAGGTGTGCCTGCTTCACAAAGTCAGGAGCAGCAGAGGCCAAGGTGGAGCATAGGAGGGGGGGCACCAGGGTGTAGGGCAGAGCAGGGGCAGCTGAACATAGGGCAGAGCGCAGAGTGGACCACAAGAATGGCAGGACAGCAAAACACAAGATGATGGAGGCAGTAGGGTGCAGGACAGCAGATTGCAGGGTAGCAGAGACAGGGGAGTGCAAGGAGGCAGGATGGCAGGGGCAACGGAAGGCAGGGTGACAGAAGTGCAGGGCAGACTGGAGAGTGGCAAGGGAACCAAAGTGAAGGGTATCAAGGATAGAAGGGGAAACAGAATGTTTCCCTCATCCTAAAAAAACCTCAGTTCCTATTTTTACCAAGACATCATGCAAATAAAATACAATATTTCTTCTAAGGAACACTATAATATCACAACTGCTACCTAGGGGAAACTCAGTGCAATGATGTTCTATATAACACATTTATTTCTTCTGATAGTCAGATAAATAAAACAAATAAAACAGTAATAGGGGAGACAGAAAGAAGAAATGAGGGATATCAGTCGAACTTTCCTCATATAGTCTTTCTTTTAAAATGTAACCCTCTCCACATGTTTTTATGTTTTTTGTTTTGTTTGTTTTGTTCTTATTAAATTTATATACCGCCCTACTCCCGAAGGACTCAGGACGGTGAACAGGCAGAAAATAAAATACATAGATACAAAAGTTAGAAACATAATTAAAACCAGATTAAATAATTTAGCCTGAGACAATTAAAAACTCCAATAATTTAAAACAGATTAAAATTTCGATTTAAAAGAATTTTAAAACAGGGGAGAAAATTAGGCCAGGCCGGCTTGCTCGAATAGGAGGGTCTTAAGAGCACGGCAGAAAGTGCGCAGATCCGGAATCCTCCGTATCTCTGGGGGGAGCTCGTTCCAGATAGTGGGTGCCCCCACAGAGAAGGCCCTCCCCCTGGGGGCCGCCAGTCGACATTGATTGGCTGACGGCACTTGGAGGAGCCCCTCTCTATGAGAGCGTACCGGCCGGTGGGCTGTTTGTGTTAGTAGGCGGTCCCATAAATAACCAGGTCCTAAGCCATGGAGCGCTCTAAAGATGGTGACCAAAACCTTGAAGCGCACCCGGAAGACCACCGGGAGCCAGTGCAGCTCATGCAGGAGGTGTCACATGGGAGCGCCATGTTGCTCCCATAACCACCCGCGCGGCCGCACTCTGTGCCAGTTGGAGCCTCCGGGTGCTCCTCAAGGGAAGCCCCATGTAGAGAGTGTTACAATAGTCCAGGCGGGAAGTGACGAGGGTATGAGTGACTGTGTGTAGGGAGTCCCGATCCAGAAAGGGACACAACTGGCGAATCAGGTGGACCTGATAAAAAATCCTCCCGGTCACGGCCATCAAGTGCTCTTCTAAAGACAGCCATGAATCCAGGAGGGCACCCAAGTTGCAAGCCCTCTCCGTGGGGGGCAGTGATTCGCCCCCAATAATCAGCGATGGCGTCAACTGACTATATCGGGACGTCGGAAAATGTGTGAGAGGCCTCAACTTGATTCAAGGGCAACAAAGCTGGACTCTTGATTCTATGTGCCGAAGAAAAGATCGAAGCAACTCAGGTTTGTATTCCTGGATCTTCTTTATATGATCAGGAGCCTCAACTGTTTGGGGCCCCTGCTGCAGTGGAGAATCCAGAAGCATTGTTAAATCCCTTTCAATCTTTGATGAACACAAAGATTGTGTTCATGGGAGGACCCAATACTGCATTCACAAGAAAGCCTTTCACATGAGTAACACATTGTATCCCATGTCCAACGCAGTCACCAGTCTGAAGCATCACTGAAGGAAGGGAAGATGCAAATACAACAGCAATAACAAAAACTGACCACTATATTTAAGCATTTATACTCTAAATACAGATTACTGTAATTTTAGTTACAGATTATTATAATTTTAGTAGAACGCAGATGAGAAAATGTTTAGTAGAAAAAATCACATACCTTTTCCATATAAATGCTGGATACCAGTGATACCACCAGGTGGCCAAAAAGAAGCCACAGTATATATCCTTTGCCCCATTCCATCCAGAAATTCCATTCAAAATCAACTGGATCCTAGACATCAATGGAACCAAACTGTCATTAAACTCTTCTGAAATGAGCTTACTTATAAAGAAATTGAACATATATGAATTTCAGTACTGAAATTCCTATCATCTCCAAAACATTGCCATATTAGTGAAGATGGATACACATTATAGAGACCCAACCTGGAGAAGCTCATATCACATCGCTGTAATATTTCATGTTAGGGACTAGAAAAAATACAGGACTGTTACACAAATGAATTTATTGCATAGAACACAACAGTAAGACTTAGAAAGGCTGTTGATGAAGGCTCTAGGAGCTCTTCAGTGGTGTTTAGGGAATGTCAGTGTTCTTCTGTTTATAAGGGCTTGACACATGCACACCTGAAGCCCTTATAAACAGAAGAATACTAACATTGACATCCCCTAAACTACACTGAAAATGTTACCTAGCCTGGTAACAAAACATTCAGAAACCATCCCACAAGCTCGGAGAATGGACCTTCACTGTCATTCCTATATTCATTAGAGCAGTGTATTTCAATCTTCACAACTTTACATTCTGTGGATTTTAATTTCCAGAATTCCCCAGTCAGCCATTTGGGGCAACACTGGCTGGGAAATGTTGGGAGTTGAAATCGAGAAACACTGTATTAGAGACTTCTAAGTGCAAGGTCCCAGCTCCGATAGAAACTTTTGCAAAGAGATTGCAGCTCCTTTTGCAATCAGTTGTATGCCCTAGTCCAGGGGTCCTCAAACCTTTTGAACAGTGGGCCAATTCTCGGTCCCTCAGACTGTTGGGGGGCCGGACCAGCTGGGTGGGCATGGCTGGGTGGTCACGTGACTGGTTGCGCATGGCCAATTTAGCAGTCCATTTTGCCTTTGTCCTTGCTCAACCCAAGAAATCTATTTACTTAAGACACCCGCCCCCAAGGGAAAAAGAGCGCAAACTTTCTTGCCACTTGCCTAACTTCATTACAACAGTAGCTTTAGGCTCCTTAAAATAGGCCATTAAAAAAAGAATAAAACAAACAGTATTTCCTTCAAAATAACTCCTGATCATATGTTTCAGATGACCTGTGAGTGCCTGCCAGCAGGGGAGGAAGCCAGGGAAGGGATAGGAAACCAGCCTCCTTTTTTTAATTATTTGGGCTAAAGGTCTTTTAAGCCTGGAGGAGAATTCACAAACTGATTTGCTTTTTGCCACACTTCTGCATGTGTATACACACACATGAATATCTACCAAAATTGTTCAGCAACCAATTTGGTGGATGTACTTTATATATGGCAAGAATCAAAGTAGTGGGTGAATTCTCCTTCAAGCATAATATTATTATTGAAGCTGGAGTGTTCACGGATATTTTCAATCTATCCCTGTCACAGTGCTCCATCCCTACCTGCCTGAAGACATCTATTATAGTGCCAGTCCCTAAGCAGACAGTAGTGGTATCCCTTAATGATTATAGACCAATAGCTTTAACATCTGTTGTCATGAAATGTTTTGAGAGGCTGGTATTGAACTATTTTAAGGCTAGTCTTCCATCTACTTTGGACCCATACCAATTTGCACATAGGGGTAATAGATCAACTGACGATGCTACGTCTCTTGTTGTCCATACTGTATTGAATCACTTGGAACAACAGGGGACATATGCGAGGCTGTTATTTGTGGATTATAGCTCTGCCTTTAACACCATTTTACCCAACAGGTTGTTTTTTAAAATGTCCAATTTGGGTATAAATCAGAGAATTTGTTTGTGGATAAGGGATTTTCTGACAGGTAGGCCACAGTCAGTAAGGATGGGATCTCACCATGCTACTCTGGTGCTACTCTTCTACTCTGATATTAAGCACAGGAGCCCCCCAGGGTTGTGTGCTAAGCCCTTTCCTTTATTCCTTGTACACGCATGACTGCACCCCATTGTATAACACCAACGCAATTATTAAATTTGCGGATGACACAACAGTGGTGGGGCACATTAATAAGAACAATGAGTCTGCTTACAGGAAGGAAGTACAAGGGCTGACACTGTGGTGTAATGAAAATAATCTCATACTTAACACCACAAAAACTAAAGAACTTATAATTGACTTCAGGAGGAAGAGAGATGTACATCTACCATTGTACATAAATGGTGAGGAGGGAGAGAGGGTGGGTAGTTTTAAATTTCTGGGCATTTATATCTTGGAGGACGTCTCATGGACTATGAATGCTAACATGCTTGTGAAGAAGGCACAGAAGAGGCTGTACTTCCTGAGAATGCTCAGGAAGATAAATCTATCCCAGCACCTACTTCTGTCCTACTATTGCAGCACCATTGAGGGTGTCCTGACATACGGCATTCTTGCATGGTATGGGAGCAGCTCTGTAGCGGACAAAAGCGCTCTACAGAGACTCATTAAAACTGCCCAGAATATCATCGGATTCCAGCTACCAGCCCTGGATGACATATTCGAATCTCGCTGTTTGAGAAAGTTGCATAACATTCTCAGAGACTCTTCCCATCCTGCCTTCAATCTTTTTGGACTGTTGCCTTCTGGCAGAAGATACAGAACAATTAAAACTCGGACCACACGTTCTCTGAATAGTTTTTATCCCAGAGCTATAATTGCACTCAACAATGAACTAAAGGGCCACCATCAGTGAGCTGTTGGACAGTACTACTTGGTCTGTTGTGTGGATGTTTGGGTGGTTTAGGGGTGGGGAATTGTGGTGGGTGGAAGTGTGTTTGGGGATTGTTATGTGTGTGACATTTGAATTAGTGTTAGCCAACTTCAGCAGACATGTCCCCCACCCACCCACTTTTAAAGTGCTACTTTAAAAGCAGCCCCTCCCCTACTCACCCACCAGCCCTGGATTATATGACTGTGAAAAACATCCTGAAAGGCTGTTTTTAAAGCGTTTTTAAAGACTTTAAACACACTGCTTTACAAGCTGGCAGCTGCTTTTCAAGCCAGCAGCAACCCCTCCCCTACTCACCACCAGCCCCCCAGCCCTGGATCGTGTGGCTGCAGTGGCGAGATCACCCCTCAGTCAGCTGGCCCTCCCCCAGGACTCTTCAGCCTTATGTTCGGCAGCAGCGGTGTGATCAGAAGTGCAGCTCAACCGGTGAAATAACTAACCAGAAGTGCAGCTGGAGTGGATGCTCGCTGGAAGATAAGGCGACGGTGAGGGGCGGGGCTGAATCCCACCACTCCGCGGGCTGGATACTTTGCATTGGCAGGCCATATCCAGCCCGTGGGCCCTAGTTTGAGGATGTCTGCACTATACAGTAGAATTCAGTATAGTTACTGCCCTGGGTTAGAAGTGGTTTTTCAGCCTATTTGTCCTTGTTTTTATTATTCTGTACCATCAGCCAGATGGTAATAGTTCAAAAAATGGGTGCCCAGGATGAGATGGATCTTTTTAAAAAAAATTGAACTTTCTTAAGGCAGCGGGAGCTATAAAACTCTTCCAAAGAGGGGAGAGGGCAACCATTGATCCTCTGGGCAATGACGTTAACCCTCTGGAGTGCTGTCCTATTTGCCACTGTGCAATTGGCAAACCATACACAGGTGCAGTAAGTTAAAATACTTTGTACTTTAAAAGATATGTTCAGTGTGTTTATATGTTTAATGTGTAATGAGATAATTTATCTACTTAATGGAAAAGGAGAAACAGAGAATTCTCCCACCACAAAAAGTAAATGGGACCCTATCAAAATGATGACTGCAACTAATTGCCATTTGGATGGTGAAACTCTCTGCATGAGTAGCCTTTCCCAAATATTGCATCAGAGAGGGGAGCAAAATTATTTTATTGGTCTATGACAAACTGCCATTTGATAGCTGCATTTAGTTACATATTTTCTTTTTTATGCCTACATTTTATTGTAAGTCACTATTTCAAACTGCAGAGAATTAGGAGATAACATGCAACAAATAAACAAAACTTTTGCCTTTTGTCTCCTAATGCTTCCCTTTCAAATTGCAAAGTAATATTCACTTTTGGAGATCTATTCCCAGGAAATCTGCCAAGAACAACACATCCTTTGCACAGTGTTGATCAAAAGGAATTTCCAAATTAGAACAGAAAGCAGACAATCATGATTGTCTCTGTTATGCTTCCATTATTCCTTGAGGAGTGTGGCACAGATTTCAAATATATGTCCCAAGAACTGCTTTCTTGCTTTAAACTCAAAATATGTTGCCATAAAAGTTTATAACACAACAAACAGCTTTATACTTCTCAACATCTGTAGACCAGGGGTGAAATGCTCCTGGTTCGGACCGGATCACCCGATCTGGTAGCAATGGCGGCAGGTGGTTCGGAGAACTGGTAGCAAAAATCCCTGCGCACCCCACCCCCCCTTACCCAGTTGAGCTGCGTGATCATCAGAGGGTGGGTTTTTTTACTTTTAAAAGCATTTTTTCTTCGGCCGAAAAAATGCTTTTAAAAGTAAAAAAAAAGCCTCTGATGATTGTGCAGCTCAGCTGGGATCGTCAGAGTCTTTTAAAAGCATTTTTTCTACAACCTCTTCGGCCGAAGAGGTTGTAGAAAAAATGCTTTTAAAAGTTTAAAAAAAAAATAGTTGGCCACGCCCACCCAGTCACATTACTCCCTACACCAAGCCACGCCCACAGAACCGGTAGAAACAAATTTTACATTTCACCACTGCTGTAGACCTATGAGAAAAGAAACTATTGTGCAACAGCTAACGGCCCTTTCATATTAAATACAAAAATGTATGCTATAGGATTTTCATATAAGTGCTGGCTCCTTCTATTTACCAGAGAGAAGCAGGTAGCCTGCCACAAGTGTCACAAGCTAAGCTATAAAAAAGACCATTAGTTACCATTGGCTGAGCTATCCTAATCCTATCAATTGCCCCCCACAATTATAGATAGTCCTTGTTTAGAGACGGCTTTGTACACTGACTGTTCACAGTTACAATGGTGACGAAAAAATAATCCTCACATTTACAACACAGGCCACAGGTCTATAAAGGAAAGGAAAGCTGAAGTATGATAGTAAGCACAGTCACGGTTTCACTTAATGACTGCCTGACTTAACCATCAGGTTGCTGGTCCCAATTGTGATCACTAAATGAGAACTACTTGTATTGTGCTACTCTGTTTCTAAAAAGGAGGGAACACAAAAACACATGAATGTCAATAACAAGAAACATGCACAGGCATTTGAGAAATCAACATGCCATGGGAAACACAGGAGCCTAAGGAAAGGAAACAGCAAGCGAGTGGTTCCAAAAACTCAACTGGAACAGAGAAGAAAGCCTGAAAAATAGACTCAGAGGAAAAGTATACATAGGTGTGAGCTGCAGAAATATAGAATCTGTTCCTACATGGGTTTGAAACAACTAGCCAAGACTTGGGGCTCAGTTGAAGTCACACAATTTTGACATTATACAACAATTGAACGTTACTGTACTGTATTTTGTGTGTGTGTATGTGTGTGTGTGTAAGAGTTACTTAGATCAGATGAGTGGTGTAGACATTATACAAACACACACACACACCAGTGGTGGGTTTCAATTTTTTTACTACCGGTTCTGTGGGGGTGGCTTGGTCGGCGTGGCTTGGTGGGCGTGGCAGGGGAAGGATACTGTAAAATCTCCATTCCCACCCCAATCCAGGGGACAGTTACTGCTAAATCCCCATTTCCTAAATCAGCTGGGACTTGGGAGGCAGAGAATAGATGGGGGCGGGGCCAGTCAGAATTTTTACTACCAGTTCTCCGAACTACTCAAAATTTCTGCTACCAGTTCTCCAGAACTGGTCAGAACCTGCTGAAACCCACCTCTGAACACACATATATATACACACACATACATATATTCACATCACATTATTTTAATAGTTGTTAGTCATCCAGAGTTACAGCCATATAAATTGACATAAATAAGCTTCTTAAAATATAACATACCAACAGCACAGGAATATTAACAGTTGTGAAAGAGGAACTAGATACATCTCTAAGAAAGGCAAACTCTCATGGCTGCCATCCAAAATTTGTCAAAGTTTCTTTATATTAAAACCTTACAATTATATTTCATCCCCAAGATGCATGTACACACACGCACTCATGGGTGATTTTTAAAAAGTATGGTGGACAATTGGTTTTTTAGAAAGATATGGAATTGCACAGGAAAGAATTGTAAAATTACATCCCTCTATTGGGTAGAAGTTATTTCTTTGACTTAGGTAATTTTATTAAGGGAAGGGCTATGAATTGATACGCAAAAAGCCGCTAGCTTTTTAAATCGTACATTCTCAAGAGTTGTATGATGCAAGAGCCCTAATTACATTCAGCAAGGTATGCCTCTGTTAATATGTTAATAGGCATAGTTTAATAGGCCACTATTCAGCTTACCATGCCAAAACAGTCTTCTAAGGTGAATGTCACTAAGTATTCTAAATGAAACTAATTTATAAAAGTGAAACTTAGCTCAACTCAGCACAAGCAAAATTACTGAAGATGCTGACTGGAAGAAAATTTGGCTGAAGCTATTTTTTGCAGAAAGAATTAAAAAGAGGTTGGAACTGATTCACATCTGCATCTAAACCTACAATGCCTCAAATATCCCAAATACCCTTGTATCTGAAAACAGACTCATATCTGTTTAAAAAAAAAACACATCTGAAAACATACCCAAACATGGGCATGTTTTCAGATATAAGGCAACACATTAAAAAAGAAATTGAGCCTGAGACTTTTTAGCATAACAATATTCAATATTTTGTGGTACCCCCAAGAAAAAATAACTTCGGTTATTGTTTCCAAGCAATTTTAGCTTATATTATTAAGAAATCGAATGCACTGAAAGGTGAGCGACAGCAGTTATGCAGTTATTTGCACACTCAAGCTTTAGTACCCACAGTGGGAGTCAAAACAAGCTGCACATAAGTATTAATGTTGCATGCATGTATAAAGATACAGGGTTTCAACTGTGATGCTGCAGCTACAGGTAGTCCTGGACTTATAACAGTTCATTTAATGACCATTTAAAGCAGGGTGGATTTGATTTAAATCAACTCGATTTAAATCATAATTTTAAAGAGCAACTGTCATCTCTGTCCTGCAGCGGTTCCTCCTCTGACCTGCTGTTGACTCACCGACAGTCTCAATATTGCAGAATATACAGCCTAAATAGACAAATATCTATCTTTAGATAGATTTTTATTCCAAAAGCATTTTATTAAAATAAATTTGATAAAAATAAAAAAAATCTAATTTCAATAAAAAAAATCCAATTATTTTTATTTTTTAAAAAAAATATCAATTTTTATCCATCCTGATTTGAAGTTACAGCAGCACTGAACAAAATGACTTATGACCATTTTTCACACCTATGACTGTTGCAGCATCCCCATGGTCACATGATTTCCATTCAGATGCCTGACAACTGGATCATATTTATGACGATTGCAGTTTCCCGGGGTCATGTGATTATCATTTATGACCTTTTGTTAAGTCAATGGAAAAGCCAGATTCACTTAACAACCGTGTTACTAATTTAACAACCGCAGTGATTGATTTAACAAATGAGGCAAGAAAAGTCGTAAAATGGGGCAAAACGCATTTAACAAATGTCTCACTTAGCAACATAAATTCTGGGCTCGATTGTGGTTGTAAATTGAGGACTAACTGAACAGTGTTGCCTCTTTTAACCCACCCTGCAGAGAGAACAGTGCTCAAGGCTATATAGCAGGGGTACCAAACTCAATTTCATTGAGGGCTGCATCAGGGTTGTGTTTGACCTTGGGGGACTGGGGGGGGCATGGCCAGGGTGGGCATGGCCAGCTCGACATCACTCGTGTTGGGGAGCGCTCTGCCAGCAAAAACAGAACTCGGGTGAGCTGCGCACAATGCCTTCCAAGCTCCCCTCCCAAGCTTCGTTTTCGCTGGCAGAGTCATCGCAAGCCCGTCCTTTGCTGTTTCCAGGGCAGCCCCGTGGGCCAAATGTGGCCCGCAGGCCTTGAGTTTGACATCCCTGCTATACAGCAAACAATATGCAAAATTTAACATAGCGCTAATTATATTTTTCTTTTAAGTACTACAGGCCATGTTATTGACAAGTCATAGCATGACAATTTGACAAGCCATTTTGCACTGAATGGACAGAGGTTTTATCATAATTTGTATCAAAATGCTCTACCTTCATCTTGATCACACTAGACCTCAAAGCTCAGCACTGCTTACTGTCATCCAATCTCAATCACATTTCGATGCACTTTAATTAATCTCATTGACCTTACCTTCCTCAACCCCAGTGTATTTTTCTCCAGTTCAAATTTTCTATCAAGTTCTTCTTCGTATTCTGCACAAATAAGAAAATGTTAGTTCAATAGCAATAGCACAATATTATCAGCTCTCTGATAATAGAAAGAGAAGACGTAAGAAAAAATAAATTCCAAGTAGTATTATTACAGTGAAAGCCTACTAAGGCCTGAGAGTCTCTTTTCTAAGGGAAGTAAGAGTTATTACAGAATATGTTAATAGATTAGGAATTGTCAGTCAATTAGGTCTATGACTCTCACAACCTGTCCAATTTGATCAACTTGTCAATAAGCAAACAGGAACAAAAATAAAACATGCAAAGTTTCCAATTTGTAAAAAAGGATACGTCTGAATAAAGGCAACTTTTTCTATGTTGAGAACCACTTACTAAAACTCCACCTTCTATAGACCTCTTGATGCAAGCAAGTTCTCTACTCAGAATGCTCTATCTTTAAAAAATTTGCAAACAGCAGCAACAATATAATACGAATGAGGCTTTTTTTAAAAGACATCAGAACAGCTCTAAGAACAGTGGATATCAGTGGCATGTTGATTCAATATTAACAGTCTTAAGCAAAAAAGTTAGTTAAATAGAGAAGATGAGAGTCTGCAGTATAGTGTCTTGTAATATTTTTTCTAGCGATAGCAATAGCCTTTAGACTCACCGTATTTTCCGAGTATAAAACACACTTTTTCCCTCCTAATAGAGGCTGAAAATTTGGGTGTGTCTTATACTCCGAATGTAGCTTTTTTGAAACTTTTTTTCAGCCCTAACGAGGCGCTAGCGAGTGAAGCATCTCCATGGTTTGCCTGCTTTTCTCATTGCTTCTCTCTCCAAAGATCAGTTGTGCTTTAGAAGCTGTTTTTTATCCCCAAGCAGGGGATAAAAACCAGCAAACTAATCTGCTGAAGCTGACCAGACTAAGGACGCTAGCCAGATCAATACCTGGTAGGTAGATTTTTTTTTCCTATTTTCCTCCCCCAAAACTAAGCTGCGTCTTATACTCCGGTGCATCTTATACTCTGAAAAATACGGTATATATCATCTCATAATGGTTTACAGCACTCTCTGGGCGGTTTACAAGTGTAGAAGCATTATTCACCTATTGTCCCCTACAATCTGGGTCCTCAGAAGGATGGAAGGCTGAGTCAAACTTAAGCCCTGCCAGAATCAAACTCCAGGCTATGGGCGGGGGGGGGGGGGCGGGATAGGCAGTATTTGTCTGAAAAACAGGTATTCCTCAATTTACAATCACAATTGAGCCCAAAATTTTTGTTGCTAAGCGAAACGTATGTTAAGTGGATTTTGTCCCATTTTATGACCTTTCTTGCCATAGTTGATAAGTGAATCACTGCAGTTAAGTTAGTAACACAGTTGTTAAGTGAATCTGGCTTCCCCATTCACTTTGCTTATAAGAAGGTCGCAAAAGTGGATCACAGGACCCCAGGACACTGGAACCATCATAAATATGAGTCAGTTGCCAAGCATCCAAAATTTGATCACGTGACCATGGGGATGATGAAATGGTCATAAGTGTGAAAAAAGGACATAAATCACTTTTTTCAGTGCCACTGTAACTTTGAATGGTCACTAAATGAACTGGTGTAAGTCCTGTACTGCATTTAACCACTGTGCTACCATGGCTATTTATTACATTTCATTTTATTTATTTATTTATTGGCTGGAGCAAATCAGCTAATAATTGCTTAATTAACCAATGGTTCCAATAAGTGAATATGTGCATTTATGTTGCCTTACTGACCAACAAAGACAGCTAGAAAAAAGAATTAATGCTTTGCAAATATTTGTTATGCCTAACGTTTTGGATATCAAATAGATTCTTTCCAACAATTATTCCTTAACAAAATTCAATTTCCATTTTTAAGTCTGGCAAGAGAGAATGCCTCAAAAGTTCAAGCTATTAACTGAGCATCATTTAGAAGGGAAGCAGCTTTCAAGATGAAGAGCTAAACTTTTGATTTATCACCTTTGGTTTTCAGAGGAGATTCTTAATATCTAGCTGAAGAAATTCATCTCTTCAAGAAATGAGTTTTTCCTCTTATTTTTTTGATGCTCAAAATAAACATCATCTTCTCTGAGAATATTTTTCCTTTCCTTTTTTTTTTCCTTAGCCTGGTTATCCAGCAGAGGAGAGAGCTGAAAATCAAGTTCGGTATCATCAATCACTAGGGATCAGAATCTCTAATTACATATCTCTTTGTCTGACTTTAATTGTTAATTGTAAATTTCTTTGGTAGCCATCCCTAATTGTAAATTGCAGCAGGGGTTAGCCAAGACAAATGTGTAGTGTTAGACTAGAATTATATACGTTATTATAGATAAATATGTATGTGAATTGTATAGATAGGTATATGTAGATATAGGTATGTATAATTGTATAGGAATAAGGTATAAATTACTATTATTATACTATGTTTAAATAACGTATAAGGTGTAATGAATATATTATTATATTATCATTAGTATATTACGTATTAACTTAAAATGTTGGAAGATGTTTGGGACCAGTGATGTCATATCTATGTCCAATGTTTTTAATTTTGAACTACTAATAAAAAACTTTATTTAAAAAAAATGAAAATTGCAGCAGGGTGTTAAGTGAACTAAATCAACATCAGGAAAATGAGCGGGACAAAAACACATAAAGTCAAATAAAGACTACTGATCGTTTCATCTTACAAAACACCAATCTACCAATTTTTTATTCAGTATGACAGAGACAGAGATGACTTTCATTCAAACTCCACCAAAATTATTGGTGATTTTCTAAATTGTTTGTAGATGTTGGCGGGTCTGTATAAAGCTTTAAGCAATCCCTTCCCCCTGCCTCCTAAATATATGTTTCCATGTGTCTATCCCTGGAAGTAAATAATTGCATTAAGAAGTGCCCATCCTAGTATCTAAGCTAGAAATGTAGATTTTGCACTAGGACTATAGAGCTGCAGACACATTTGATTTAATGAGTGCCAAGAGAGAGTACACGGGCACCACACGTCTTCCAAATCATTTTTCTCCCTAGTCAAATCTAAAAGTTCTAATCTGCAATACTGGAATAAATGTTTTTTGAAAACCTCTCTGTATAGTTTCTGTTGCCACCTGAGATATACAGAAAGATTTCTTTTGAAGGTAATGCCCTCACATACAGTACAGTGAGGAAAAATGAGCATAAATATCTGAGAACTTTAACAACAGCAATAAGAATCATAATGGCAGGCATTTATGACTTTTCATGGCTACCATCAACCCTAGGATAAGCCAAGGAAAGAAACAACTAATGTCTATCTGCTAAATTAACCCATTGTCCAATTGTCTTACATTTCAAGTGGATTCTCAAGTTTCTTATTCTATTACAATTACTATTTTGATCCGAATAACCCATAGATGTTCTACTGAAATATGCTCTATTAATGCTCTGTATTACTACCAGTAGCTTCTTCTCATTCTATTTTGTCTCTTCCATTTTAACACCTTTCTATTGTGTTGCTGAGACAAAATTCTACTATTACACTTCACTGACTGTTTAATTTTAACTTTCTACTATAGCTTCTAAGTATATTTTTCAAGAAGCTGTCCATTTAGTACAAACATTTTTGAACTGAGCTTCTGGAAAACTCAGCTTTCCTTTCAACATTATGAACTATTCTGGAACAAAATCACATTGCTATTATCATAGCCCACACCTGGTCATTTTCAAAACAGCAGCAATCATAGAATCCTTCTTGTGCTAAAATATTATTGTTGAGCACTTTGTGGAGTTTCAGATTACTCAAAACCAGGCTTAGATTCAATCTGTTCCCATGAATTATACATTTCTTGTGATGACTGAGTTCTCAGTTGAAATATGAGGATATTAAAATAATGAAGGATATTCTTATCAATACCTTTGTTTTCTATACATAAAGATAGATTATCAGTTCAAAAATCAGAAACAAAAATAATTTGAAATGTAAGTGGTTAAAACATCTAACATCCTAATGATAATTGTTTATATAAACCACCTTGTTATTGGCTACATTAATTATTATTATTTCAAGATTCTAAAAACTGTTATGCTATCTCCTCCTAGTGGAAAAAATGAAGAATAGCAGGAGTCACTTTACAGAAGTAGTTCTATTTATTGGATGCTAGCTTTTTTCAAGAGATCAGGGTGGCATACATAACACTCCTTCTCTACTATTTTCCCTGTTTTCACAACCTTGTGAGGTGGAGCAATAATAAGAGCAATAATATATCAGATACATATAACATTTATTCTTTTACATATCAAGCACAATCAAGATTATTCCAAGCACATTGAGTAACCTAATTCCAACTCTAAAAAATTCCTCCAAAGGAGGAGAAAATTGAACATATACATTAAAGAATTAGCACATATCTCATGTTACTGAACTGGTAAGTGACAATATATGTGTTTAATCACTAAATAGAAGCATACAAAGTTTTATTTTGTTCTATACAAAGTTTTATTTTGTTTTGTAACCAAGAGGCTTGAGGAACAGGGCAATAGCATAGTGCAGAGGTCTCCAAACTTGGCAACTTTAAGCCTTGTGGACTTCAAGTCCCAGAATCCCCTAGGCAGCATAGTTGGCTGAGGAATTCTGGGAGTTGGCGTCTTCAAGTGACCTGGCATAGTGACCTCTGACTGAGGAAAGAATTTTCTACTTCTATTCTCTATTTCCACTTTTCTACTTTCTATTTTCTCAATTGAGGGGATGAGCATTTTAGGTGCATTAAGCCAATCCAAATCTTGCACGCTTTTCCCCTTGATTTCTCACTGAAAATTGGCAGAAAATTACACAGCACTTTCAACAAATCTTTTTTGCAATATGATCTCAGAGTCTCTGGGATTCCAGGAAAAGGAAAGGAAAATTTACAGCATGCAGCTATTCAAACCTGTCATAGGTTATGCAAAGAGGATTTTCTGGTAGTGCAGAAGTTATTGAAGTAGGTAGGTATATTGTGAATTATATGATGCAATGGAAGATACTACTTATCTAAACCTTTTTCAAAGTGGGTGATTTCCAATGTGAACCAATTTCTGAAAGTTTCAGAAGTCATGTTAGCTGGAAAGTTCTTTTGAGTTAAAACTCAATTTGGGGAAAATATACTATATACCACGTATAAGTTACTGTAGGAGCAATTTTTTAAAAAATCTTCAATTTTTAGTCTTTTTGGAGAAAGTTAACACCTAAGTTGTAGATTCATTACGTAAATTGGCTTCCAGGACCTCACATATTTCTGCATTGTTGCCAATAAGCACCACAACAGATGACATTTTCCCAGATATGTAGCTAAGAATCAAGACAACTTGATGGTACATAATCAATTGAATCAAACAAAGCATGAAAAAAGATATGTTGGCACCAGATATGCCAGCCTACACATTCATCACACACCCATTTATTCTTATACAGATTATTTTATGTTACTTATTTTATGTTGCTTTCTTTTTCCGTCGTATGAATTACAAAGAATCTTGTATCTACTCACTATTCTAAGAAAAATGCACACAAGCAAACTGACTCAATGCAACATTCTGCCTGGGACTGTAGGAAAATAGTTACATATTTTGTACTTTTTATTTCAATTTATTGAAAACTACAAAAGCAAAAAATAACACCTAATGATAATGGGCCTAAAGTTGAGACTTACCTTGAGAAGCTTGGAAGACTTCATAGAAAGAATAAAAATGAGAGCCAAAAGAAAGAAACAAGTAAAGATACAATTCCCATCTAGGCAAAATCTCCGACTGGAGGAACATTTTTAGGCTTCTCAACACTTAGAAGGTCATCTTAGCAATACACCTAAAAACAATGAGATAACATGTTTAGTATTTAGTTAGTTAGCCCCACATAGAAATGTCAGACAGGACCACAGAAACTTGAGGAAGAATTTCAAATTTTATTTTTCAAAATAAAAGATGGAAGATGGAAGAGGAAGAGGCTTATAGTTTGGGTTCCTAAGAGCCTAAGAAGAGATGTTGCAAGATAAAAATAGAAGCCCTATGCATCAACACAAATAGATAGCTAAATAAACAAAATATCTACAAAATATGAGTAAAGACTGTTTTTTAACTAAATTCCAGGCCAAAATCAGCCTCCCCTCTTCAAAACTTACTTCGGCTTTTTCCATTCCTGAAATGCACAAAGTAGAAGCAAAACAATTTGACCTTTCTTAGAACTTTCTGGAATGGTGGAAATCAACATGACCATGACAAGTACACAATTAGTGAAGAAGACAATATCATGGTCTGATTAGAAATAGGACAGCTTGTTTCTGAACTACAGCTAAGAAATCATTTTTCAGAAGAAATGTATTGTTAATTTTTTGTATTGATCCATTGCCTGGAACAGGAATTGGCTTGTTGCCTGCGCCTGATGTGTGGGATGACAGACAGAGTAACCAGCCCAAAGTCACTCAGCTAGCTTACATGCCTAAGGTGGAACTAGAACTCACAGTCTCCTAGTTTTTAGTCTAGTAGTGCCTTTGCCATTAGGCCAAACTGGCTCTCAAGAAAGATGAAATTTCTGAATGAAAAAAAAAAATGGGGGAGGTGCACAGGAAGGTATAATAGTAAGTTCCTGGCTGCTGAAACACAACTGGACACTGGGGCCTGTGGCAGGGATGGGGAAGCATGGTGAATCCTTTATCATTGATTATGTTATGAGCCGAGGTGGCGCAGTGGTTAGAGTGCAGTACTGCAGCTACTTCAGCTGACTGCTAGTTCAGCAGATCAGCGGATCAAATCTCACCGGCTCAAGGTTGACTCAGACTTCCATCCTTCCGAGGTGGGTAAAATGAGGACCCAGATTGTTGGGGGAAATATGCTATTTAGTATACTGTCTTTGGTGTAAGCCGCCCAGAGTCCTTGGAGAGTGGGCAGCATAGAAATATGAATAATAAAATAAATAAATAATAAGTAAATAATGTTGACTGAGGCCATTGTGTTTAAGCAACATCAGGAAGGTCGTACGTTCCACATTCCTATCCTTAACTATGTGGTTAAGAACAATATTAAAATGGAAACACTAAATTTTAGACTGTAATCTGATGCCCAGTTCCCTGAGAGAAAACTCTTCTAAATTCAACCGATTCCTGTTCCACAATTTTTTTTTATTAAAAGTCTTCTATTTTTTAAACAAACAAACATTTAATATATCAGTCATTGCTTCCGTGTGACATCTCGGTGTTGTCTCCAATCATTCTTTTTGTTAATTCTTCTGTCTTCATTCTCATCCAATCAATTACAACAATTCATCACTAACAAAATATTCTGATTATAGCATTTTTATACATAACTATTAATTTACTTATTTGTATCTCTTTTCTAACCAATAGTAGAGTTGATTCCTTAACTTAAAGTATTCTGAATCTTCTCTTTCTTTAATCATCATAGTCAATCTATTCATTTCTGCACAATCTATTTTTTTTAAATTACTTTTCTTTCCAAAGGTATTTTCTCTGCTTTCCAATGTTGTGCATAAACAACCCTTGCAGCTGTTATTACATGTATAATCAAATAAATATTTTCTTTGCTATTTTTTTTCTAGTAGGATACCCAATAGGAACAGTTCTGGTTTTAAATCAATACATTGTTGTATCATTTCTTCCAGCCATATCTTAATTTTATTCCAATAATTTTTAGCTTCTGGACATGTCCACCACATATTTATTTATTATTTATTTATTATTCGTATTTCTATGCCGCCCACTCTCCGAGGACTCTGGGCGGCTTATACCAAAGACAGTATACTAAATAGCATATTGTCCCCAACAATCTGGGTCCTCATTTTACCCACCTCGGAAGGATGGAAGGCTGAGTCAACCTTGAGCCGGTGAGACTTGATCCGCTGATCTGCTGAACTAGCAGTCAGCTGAAGTAGCTGCAGTACTGCACTCTAACCACTGCGCCACTTCGGCTCTTGGTATGGTAATATATGTTAATAAGAACCTGGTAACTGGTGACATTTCCAACATTTAGCTGATTTATCTTTAAACATTTTTGCCAGTTTCTCAGGGGGCATATGTCATCTATAAAACATTTTATATTGATTTTCCTTATATGCAGTGGACATAGTTAAATTATAATTCCTTTCCCATTGTTCCACAATTTTTTGACCAAACATGTGTAAGTGTGTTACATGGACCCACTAATATAGCTCAGAATATGTTCAATTTGTTCACTGAATTCCACAAAGCTTACCTCTTCGTATATGTACACAGTAGGAGGGGAAGAAACCTTTTCCTCTCAAAGATCATATTCGGAAGCAAGATTGTGCGGTGCTCTGAGGGGACTAATAGTAGACCAAAATATCCCCATCATTACCCAGCAGGCTACCAGACCACAGACAAGCAGTATGAGACAATGTAATGTCTGTGAGAATAACCTTCAGGGATAGGAGGAAGAGCCACAGGCAACCTAGACAACAATATGTCACAGTAAGAGAAATCTGAGTCTAAAGCAGGAATGGCGATAGAGAAAGCACCTCCGAAATTATCCTCTCCAGTTCTCTGAAATGTGAAACTTCCAGCCTTGCAACATTGTTACTGTATGTAACCTTACAATAAAGATAGCAGTAGTGCTCAGGGGTTTGATTTCCTGCCCTGGGCTACCTGGAAGGGCTGATGGATGATCAGTTGGTGATTGGATCAGTTCATATCTTTTTTTTAAAAAAAGCCATCCTTCTTAGCGGGCAATTTTCTCCCTGTATTTTTCAGCATTATAGCTTGTAAAACATGCAGTATACAATACGTATTCTGATTTTACAATACTTTCTACCAAACAAACAACTTAGTTGATGAACCTAATTGCAGGTGGTATTTGAACAGGGGACTCATTACACTAACAGAAGCCACGCAAAGATGCCTGAGGATAGTCCATCCACTGTGGCACAGGCTGATCCCATAAGAGGAAACAGGTGTCCGTGAACACGCGGAGACTCACTTCTAAGCAAACTTAGTTAGGAGTGCCATATTAAGCACATTTTGCTTTCTAATTGTGGCTTTGGCGAAGACTCGAGAGAGAGAGTCCCTCGGACCGCAAGGAGATCAAATCAACCAATCAATCCTAAAGGAAATCAACCCTGTGTGCTTTGGAAGGAGAGCTACTGAAGTTGAAGCTCAAGTACTCTGGCCACTTAATGAGAAGAGAAGAGTTCACTGGAAAAAACCCTGATGTTGGGACAGATTGAAGGATTTTTGCTTGAGGGAGCCTGGTTTAGCTCAACAGACAGAAGCCCTGTAATTTAACACCAGCTGTCTGCAATTAAAGTAAAATCGAATCTCACCAGGCTCAAGGTTGACTCAGCCTTCCATCCTTTCTAAGGTAGGTAAATTGAGGACCCAGTTTGTGGGGGCAATAAGCTGACTTTGTATAAATATACAAAAGTATTGAATAATAAAAGTATGACAGCTATTGCTTAACGCACTGTAAGCCGCCCTGAGTCTCCAGAGAAGGGTGGCATATAAATCAAATTTTTAAAAAAAGAAGAAGGGTACGGCAGAGCATGAAATGGTTAGAAATGGTTAGATAGGATAATCAACCAAACGAACAAGAATTTGTGCAAAAGCTGGGAAACAGTGGAGGAGGGGGGTTTGATGTGCTATAGTCCAGGGGTCTCCAACTTTGGAGCCAGCTGGGGAATTCTGGGAGTTGAAGTCCTCCCGGCTTAAAGTTGCCAAGGTTGAAGCATCACCAGAAGCTGATGCCGCTATAAACGGGCGCAGCGCTCCCATACTTTTCGTGGATTTCTTGCCCCCTGCACAGAAACGATGCATCTTTTAACCACGTTTCTTTGTTCTTTCATCCGGCACGCAGCGCCGGGGCCTTTCAAAGTCTCCGGGCGCGAAACCTTTGGCCAGCATCCTTTCTCCCCGACAAAGGAGCTTTTTGTTTTTTACCGGAGATCGCCGCCAGCAACCTTTACCTAAGGAACAACGCGAGACAAAACAAACGCACCGACCTGCCACATCGCCCGCCTCCTTGCGCGGCATTGAGCCCAGCCTTCCACGTTTCCGGCTCCGGCCCAATAAGCCGCGACCCCGCCTGTTTCTTGGCTGAGGGCGGGGCGTTTTCAGCGGACGTTTTATTCGGGTGTAAACGGAGGGAGTCGCTTCTTTCCGTCCGTGCACTTCATGTGCGGGAATAATTCAGGAGACGCACCTCAACGCTCCTTTACACCGGTTTTTTCCCCCCACTCTCTGTAGGTATTTGGCGAGCAGCGATGAGGAGCAAGATGGCCTAAGTAGTTGCATTGCAAGAGCGATGGTTTGCTGCAACCTGCAGGCTTAGCTTTGCTTACCTGCGGGCAAGCCAAGAGCTTTTTTTTTTTTTAAAGAAAAAAAAAAGATTCTGCAAAAACCGGAAATAGCATTGATTCTTACGTCAATATCATTGTTCCTCCATGTTTTAATTGGTACCTTCACATCTGGCAATCGAGGTGGTGGGAACTCAAAAAACAAATGTTTAAAGCTCCGGGGATTAAATTTTAACCGATTTCGGATTTGGGTTTTTTTGCTGCTTGGAAGTTCATTAAAATCGAAAACTGGAGAAGCTGAGCCTAATTTTGCTTGGAGCGCCTTTCGTCCCTGGGGGTATGAGGCAGTCCCTTGTTGAATTAGCTGTCTTGGGTAAAAAAAAAAAACATGCAAAGATCCATGCAAAGAAATAATGGGAACTTGGGTCTAACACAAAAGATGGTAACCATTTGAGGAAGATTGCTATAATCAAATAGTTTTCTAGACCAGGGGTCTCCAACCTTGGCAACTATAAGACCTATGGACTTCAATTCCCAGAATTCCTCAGACAGCAAAGCTGTGTTAAGGAGTGTTAAGGCTTCTCTATAGCAGGGGTGTCAAACTCACAGAGCATGGCCCGGATGCGTCATGCGCTGGCCACACCCATCCCCAGTTTAGTGAAGGGGAGGAAGTTGCGATACGTCACATGACGACAATGTGATGGTGTGCATTTGACACCCCTGCTCTATAGCATCTGGATCAGGGATCCTATTTACCTATTGCAGGGGTCAGCAACTTGCGGCTCTGGAGCCACATGTGGCTCTTTGGGCCCTCTTCTATGGCTCCCTGTCAGGTGATCCCACCACTGGCTGGCCCCGCCCCTCACCCTCCCCTCCCAGTCACTCCTTCCCTGGCCTGAGAAGGTAAGGGCGACGGCGGGGATGGAGAAGCAGCCAGGGCAGAGACAGAGAGGGAGGGAGGGAGGGAGGAGAGAGAGAGAGATGTCGAAAGGATTTTGTGGTTCTCGGTGTTTTTTAACAACTGGTTCTTTGCCCTAATGACTGGCTGGGTAGGTGTGGCTGGGAGGGGTCATGTGACTGGTAGAAGTGTGTGACATTGAGTTGGCCACACCCACCCAGGTTTTGTGGCTCCCGGTGTTTTCTTTTCTGTGGGAAATGGGTCCAAATGGCTCTTTGAGTGTTTAAGGTTGCAGACCCCTGACCCATTGGAAACCAATAACTGGATGCACTAATGAGACAATTTCAGCCAATAAACAGAGGTTGAATCCTGAGAAGATGGAATCTGGTAGATTGATAGATCCTGGGTTGATGGCTGCCAGGGCCAGAAAAAAGTAACCGTGGAATCTATAAGGACCTAGGGCAAGAAGGAGGCAGCCATTGGGAGACATTCCTACATTCACCCAAAGGAGAATTCCCATAGAGTCTGTTGGGACATTGTCAAGGCTGAGAGGTAACATTTCATCACTGGAAGAAGAGATAATTCTATGGTGAGCAACCAACTCAAATCCCTGAAGGAAGAAATTGGGAGAAGCAAGTCTCTGGGGAAAAGGGAGGAGAGATAGTAAAAGCGATCAAAGTCTGAGAGATAAAATGTATCTAACACATACAGTTGTATGTTGTAATAACAAAGTGTTCACTAGCAACAAATAATTGACTGAGAACAGGAGGGGTGAAGTAAAATATATATTGTTTAGGCTCACTTAAAATAATTGAGTTAGTAAAATATAAAATGAGTTAGTATAATATAAAAAAGACACTCTTAGAAATGCACAGTAAGGTGACACAAATAGCAAACTACTGTCCTTAGAATGAGAATATCTAGGCAACTTTAAGACTTATGGACTTAACTCCCAGAATTTCTCAGGCAGCATGGGGAATTGTCTGGCTTGGGAATTCTGGGAGCTGAAGTCCATAGGTTGTAAAAGAGCCACATTTGCCCACCCCTGATCTAGAGCAAGGGTGTCAAACTCATGTCATCATGGCAGTGTCACGTGACATATCGGGACTTTTTCCCCCTTCGCTAAACTGGGCATAGGCGTGGCCAGTGTGTGACACATCTGGCCCATGGGCTGAGAATTTGACAGCCCTGATCTAGAGTATTTTGTATACATTTGTAAAGTCCTTTTTGAATAAAAGTCTGATCTCTGCCTCACTGCCATCATCCATTACAAAACAAAAAACAAAACCCACAAAAACTTACCATTTTATCCACACTTTCCATTAATAATATTGGGTAGTAATATCGGGTGCATGACTTGTTTTCTTGTCTTTTAAATGAACATGGTTTTAATATATAGTTTTAATATTTTATATAACAATTTTATTGTACAGTAAACCAGTTTGAGATGTAATTGTATAATAAGCAATATACAAATATATTTAAAGACTAAATTAAAAATATTATTTTCCATATGATAAACAGGAGGGAACATGACTTTGTAGGGCTATGGACTTCACAGACTTCTGGGTGTAGTAGAAACTTTTTCTTCCTCAGATGTCAAGTTTATATTCTGTATCTCTGCTTCCACAGAGAGGCATACATCAACTACAACATGATTTGGATGGATAGAAATGGCTTTTTCATTGCAATTATCCATTAACTGATTATCTCTCATTTACACTATTGTATAGTTCTTAAATGGAATGGAATGGAATGGAATGGAATGGAATGGAATGGAATAGAATAGAATAGAATAGAATAGAATAGAATAGAATAGAATAGAATTCTTTATTGACCAACTGTGATTGGACACACAAGGAATTTGTCTTCGATGCACAAACTCTCATTGTACATTAAAGCAGAGGTGGCTGCACTTTCTTTAACAAGGGGTTTGCTTCGCTCACACATGCCCCTTTGGGAGAGAAACGGAGCTTCAAACAGGCTCCTAATCAGATCAGGCAGCTCCGGTGAGAACAGCAGGGGTGGCGCGGAATGCAGCTGGGCCAGCCAACGAGCCAGAAAGTAAGTTATAAGTTGATAGCATAGAACAGGGGTGGGTAGGCAGGCCCAGCCAGCAATCAGAGCTAAGGGTTCGCCCAAACCCTTGCAACCATGCAGCAGCCCACCACTGCATAAAATGATAAACCATGATCATAGTCATAAAAATACATTCATCATAAATCATAAGATACAACACTTAGTGGTAGAATCAACATAAATCGTACTAGGAAACTAAATAAAACAATATAAATTGTAAAGATACAAGCAACAAAGTTATAGTCATAAGTAGAAAAGGAGATAGGTAATAGGAAACATGAGAAGAAAAATCGTAATAGAGCCTTACTAAATAGTTTGACAATGTTGTGGGAATTAGTTGTTTAGCAGAGTGATGGCATGGGGGTAAAAATGTCCTTGTGTCTAATTGTTCTGATGTGCAGTGCCCTATACCGTCATTTTGAGGGTAGAAGTTGAAACAATTTATGTCCAGAATGTGAAGGGTCTATAGATATTTTCACAGCCCTCTTTTTGACTTGTGCAGTATACAGGTCCTCAATGGAAGGCAGGTTGGTAGTAATTGTTTTTCTAATTATCCTCTGAAGTCTGTGTCTGTCTTGTTGGGTTGCAGAGCCAAACCAGACAGTTCTAGAGGTGCAGATGACAGATTCAATAATTCCTCTGTAGAACTGAATCAGCGGCTCCTTGGGCAGTCTGAGCTTTCTGAATTGGCGCAGAAAGAACATTCTTTGCTGTGCTTTTTTGATGACGTTTTTGATGTTAGGTATCCATTTTAATGAACTGTTTATATAGTTCAGAAAATACAGTCCCAAAAAGTCTTTCTTATCTCTGTCTATTCCATTTCTATAGCCACCCAACTCAGCCAAATGACACTGATCTTGATCACAATATATTCATCCATCCAATCCAAGTCACAATATTGCTGGCCCTTCGCTGAAGCCACCTATGCTTATGCTCAAACGTTGTTTCTGCCCTGCTTTCAATCTGCTTCCAAGCTCAGTTCAAAGAGATAGTGAAATTCTCATATAGTTTGGGACTAGGTTACTGATCAGCTGCTTTTTCTTCAAATTGACATCATCTCCAGAGGCCCTGTCTCAACTCCCCTCTCCAAATGAAAGGTGGCAATTGGGAGATGGCATCTTCAGTGGTAACTCCCTAGTTATGGTATAGGGTTTTTTTCCCCAAAAACCTTTGCCTGCTGCCCTGTCTGTGGTCTTTTCCACACATTTTATCCACTCGTTTTTTTAAAAAAATGAAGTATGACATTTAGATTTGGCAGTTTTTTGGTAGTTTTGGTAAAAACTACCAAAATTATTTGGTAGTTTTTAATAATGTTAATTTCCTATACACTGGACTGTTACGTTACCTTTCTGAACTACTCAGAGAACAGTAAGTAAATATTGATCAGCTGGCAAACACAAGAGGTCAGTGTGGTTTAAACTTTATGTTACAAACAACTTCAAGCAGAGTCACCAAATGCCATCTATGGTCCTGCTATCAGCATTCGTTTTCCTAGGGGGAGACCTGTTGTGATTGAAGACTGGGCCTGGTGGCTCAGCAGACTAAAAGCATTGTGATTAACACCAGCTGTCTGCAATTACTGTAAGTTCGAATCTCACCAGGCTCAAGGTTGACTCAGCCTTCCATCCTTTCTAAGGTAGGTAAATTGAGGACCCAGTTTGTGGGGGCAATAAACTGACTTTGTATAAATATACAAAAGTATGAAGCCTATTGCTTAACGCATTGTAAACCGCCCTGAGTCTCCAGAGAAGGGCGGCATATAAATCAATTTTTTTTTTAAAAAAAAAATGACCATGTCCACTAGATGGCGGCAGAGTACAAAATGTGCCTTGTAAAAATCATATTTAAGATGACTTAAGATCAGGCAGTGTTGCTGTACTAAAAGGCATCTAGTCAG